AACAAAACAGCATCATGTATTTATGCATTGCTTAATACAAAGAGCCGAATCACACAGATTGCATTTGAAAACTTATGAGACGCAGTGAAAAGGAATAAACCTCCACAAATTCGTGACGTGTTTTCTAAAAGTTTAAACTGTTTTAACTTTGCATGGCTTTCTATACATCTCTTGTGTGAGACGCGAGTGCAGCAGTTATATTTGTCTGTCTAAAAAATGCGCTGAATATGCGTTCTGTGTGAATGGCTTGGTTTCAGTTTTAACCTAATCAAGATCTTCTCCGCATTGAGCTTCTATATTTCTCTGATATTTTTATTGAATAACGCAGCAGCGGCGCGTCTCGTGGGCTAGACTAACAAAACATTAAAATGCAACAATGTCATTTACATCATCACCGCGTCTCGTGCGCCACTGATGACGCTCCCTGACGCACAACTAACATTCAAATGCAAATGTTTATTTTAAATTCCACTAATATTCATTCTTTATTCACAATCTCCTCATCACAGGCAGGCACAGCACTAATTTCAGCATGTGTTTGTGTTTGCTGTCTGCGTCACTCATAGTACATGCCTATATCATGCGCTATATCGAACATTTTTTCTATCGATATCGAAGAGGGTGTGCCGTCGATAAATATCGATACCGTTTTATCACCCAGGCATAGCATGAACTAGTGCTGTGTTCGATACATCGATACGACGATGTATCGTCACCGAGATTTGACGATACGAGTATCGATACAGCTGGCCCTGTATCGATATTGTGGCACGTGTGCAGCAGTGGACCGCGCTTAATTTTAATACGAGAGCACCGTTTAAAATGGAGTAGAAAAGTGCGAGGTTTCTAGAAAATAATGAATAGAGCATAATATATTGCTTGCTTTCTGAAGACACCGGTAAGCTTGCAGTTTAGCTATTTAACTTCAATATTCTATTCTCAGAAAAGTGTAATTCATCAAGTGTTTTAAAATTGCGGGGCAGCGCTAAAAAGTTTGTGTTGCTGATTGTCTGTGCGCATGCGCAACGTGATCTGTGTATGACTAAAATCGTGTGTACGTGAGATAAAGTGAAGAATTTTTTTTTTTTACTCTTCTAATTTTTTATTTTAATTTTTTTAAATGTAGAAATTGTGTTAATTTGTGCAATGATAACCTACCAGCAATGTAAAGATGATTTTTTAAATATATTAGTATGAGTACAATATAAATTTATTAGAACGAGTACATTATTATTTATGGCGTATCGTATCGTGACTTTGCTGGTGATACACAGCCCTAGCACGAACTCACTTCAATTTGTTCAGTTTTTCAAGACATCTTGAGTAATTCCTGATTATGTTTAGATATTTGTATTGGAAAACAAAAATATGAGAAAAATATTCCGTTTGCAATGCACGAAACATTTAATGCCATGACTTTATGAATTTAAGACTTTCTGCTCTAATTTAAGACCTTTTATGGGGCCGTTCACATGTCGTGCCTAAAAACGCATGGAAAACGCTAGCCGCGCCGTTTTCTTCTTCTTTCCAAAGCACTCGTGCGCTACCGTTTCGTCTGCCGTTGCTAAGCAACCATGACCTGCACTCTCCATGACAACGCGGAAGTTTCAGCAAAGGATAAATGGATTTCCAGCACTGAAAATCGCTTGCAGTAGCTCTGCTACTAAATTTACACTAAATTTATTTAAAAATGGCTATCCCTGTACAGCTATGATCAGCTGTTCCTCCATCTTGGCTGAGCTTTCAATGTTGTTATAGAAAGGGTGAAGGTGATTGGTTGGTTCTTGTTACATGACCTGTGGTGCGCTTGCAGGATTCTGAAAAGTTGAGATGTTTTTATCTTGCTGCGGTGTGGATGCGCCTGGAAAAAACGAGCATATCGCACTGCGTGCACATTTGAAATAACGAACTTGAGCGCACAAAAGACGCGATATGTGAACGGCCCCTATTAGGGTAAATAAAGACTTTTGTGCAGAAACCCTGAAGTGTGCTTTCTAGAACTGATGCATTAGTGCACTAAAGCAAAGATGTAATATCACAAAACGCGTTTTAATCCCACCTGGCATACCTGGAAAAAACGAGCATATCGCACTGCGTGCACATTTGAAATAACGAACTTGAGCGCACAAAAGACGTGATATGTGAACGGCCCCTATTAGGGTAAATAAAGACTTTTGTGCAGAAACCCCGAAGTGTGCTTTCTAGAACTGATGCATTAGTGCACTAAAGCAAAGATGTAATATCACAAAACGCGTTTTAATCCCACCTGGCATCCAGAAAGCGTGAGCGCAGTATCATGACTGCTTCACAGGTACTTTGTTTGAGCTGTGTCTGAATGGAGCTGAACTTGCGGTGGATGATGGCCACCATGCGCTCGATCTCACGTGGAGACACGGGCCGGGTGCGAGACTGCTCCCTCAGCAGGTTCATAACATGGGTAGTGAACTCACTGCAGGCCTGGAAACAGCAACGAGGTTAGAAAGCAGTTCCTTTCTGTCTGAGGACACTCAGAACCTGTGTCTTCCTATGTTAGACATACATTTTTGTCCTCACTCAAAGAAAAATGCTGTGCAAACAACAGATCAAGATGTATTTCAAGCTCAATAGAGTGCAACAGTCAGGTTCCAGAAGTAAGAATCTCATTCATTTTCTCCATAGAACAACTGATTTTGAACAATAACTTATGAACCATTAAAGTGAGACCTACTGTGAACTATGAGATTATTAATCATTGGAATATGCTTTCGTTGATTCAACAAATTTTTTATATAATCGGAATTCCTGATGAAAAACTAGATTCGCCTCGCAGCTGGTTGATTGGTTCATTTCTTTTTAACTCACTAAACTTTTTTTTTTATGTGAAAAAAATGTCCAATGAGATTTCGCTGTGGGCGTGGCTACCCAGCACAATGGCAGCGATATGTACCTGTTCGTATTTTTCCAGCTCTGTGTGGTAAATGTTCCGAATTTGGCTCAACTTGCTTTTATAGTCGGAGTGCTCCAGTGAGCTGTCAGGTGACATCCCGCCAGAGCTGGTCGCGGCAGAGACCGCGGCGGCGGCTCCGCCCCCCTTCTCTGGACCGGCCACACCTTCGGCCAGCAGCATGTTGTCCAATCGCACGAGCTGTGGATCTGGAGGCTCCTCCTCCTGAGCATTTCTCATGGAAAGACCTGCAAATAAGAAATTAATCCATTAAAGGATTCATCCATTCACTGATTTTCAAGCAGCTTTGTATTGTTACAATGTCGGTAGTATAAGTAAACAAACATTGTGTATTGTTTTTATGTGTTGCCTGCACCAAAAAAATAAAAAATAAATCACTATTTATTTGTCAGCAAAGGTCTGCCGTATTACAAGTTTTACAACTTTTATGAAAACTACAGATTGTACTTTCACATTTTTGTATCCCTGATTAATGGATAGTCTGATCGAACCCAGTGCATTATGGGTAATGAAGTTTTTTCATCACAGCCCTTTTCCTCTAGTCATGTACCATGATTAAAAAATACAAATTACCCCTTTAATATTTACCATATTATGTTTACATTTAATAATGCAGATGGCCTAATTGTACAACACTGGTATTAGTACTTCAAATGTAAGAAATTTTGCTTATGAATAGTATGCATAACAATAAAACACATTAATAAATATAACAAAAACATAATTTCACAAATTGTACTGTAATAACTTTGTTTATTTACATTTACATTTAGTCATTTAGCAGACGCTTTTATCCAAAGCGACTTATGAAGACAATACCAAATTATTTGTCTACGTTCATGCTGAAAACTACTTCTCAGTTATTAAAATTTAAAACTGAGAGAAATAAGATATTCAAGACCCATATTTATTAAAACGAAATTTGGGTTAACTTATTTAAAACCCTTTTCAAGGGTGTCAACACTATATCAATTTTCTCAGGAGTAGAAATATTACAATCCATTATGTTTGATACTGTAATGGCAGTCAATGACCTACAAGATAAATATGAATTTGAATTTATTTTAATTTATTCCCTGGAGCAACACAAGGTTAAGTGCTTCAGTCAAGGGCAAAACATTAAGCAGGATGACTCATTTCGACAGTTCCTGTGTCATCACTGCTTAACATTGCACCCGCCCTAAGTACTGTTTTATTCTATTATACATAGTCTGATTAGGAGAGATTTTATTTTTATTTATTTACTTTACAAAATTTTTCAATACAGCACTGTGCAATAAACAGTGAACAGTGCAGGGCAGTACTGTATGATTAATGGCACACAGCATGCAATACCACGGGCTGTAAGGGAGCGTGCCAAACCACGGAAATTAAAAGACTCCATTAGGCACAATGCCATTTAATTACTAACCATCACAGTAAACATTTCAGGCCTCTTATGGGACTTTCTAAACTTAGTCTTCATACAAACCAAAGACATTGCGCAATTATTAATAGTGCAATTCTTGCATGCAAATAATAGGATGCTGCATGCATATAAAAAGGTTTGTGTTAATATACTGGACGGTTATTTAGCTTCTCATACAAGCCAATTACGACTTTATTGTTGTACTGATATCCTAATGCATGCAAATGAGGTATCACATGCAAAAAAATAGGGTTTGAGATAATATTGCTAAAACAGTGCTGAGAAAAATTTTCATTTGGTATTCAGGAACTGCAAATGTGGTCTTCAGACAAACCAGAAACCATTTGTTATTGGTGTACTAATTGTGCTATTTTTAAAAATGTAATGCATGCAAATACTAACTCATAATCATCATACATATCATACCATACTGGTAAAAAAAAAAAAAAATTATAGCCTGAATGCACTGTAAGTCGCTTTGGATAAAAGCGTCTGCTAAATGCATAAATGTAATGTAAATGTAAATGCAAATAATTTAGAATAACAAGCAAATAACACGGTCTGAGACTGTTTTTTTTTTTTTGGTATAAGATGGCTATTATTTGAGAGCAACTTCAATTTTTAAAGGGGTCATATGATGCGATTTCAAGTTGTCCTTTCTCTTTGGAGTGTTACAAGCTCTTGGTGCATAAAGAAGATCTGTAAAGTTGCAAAGACTGAAGTCTCAAATCCAAAGAGATATCTTTATAAAAGTTAAGAGTCAGCCACGCCTACCTAAAACGGCTCGTTCTAACACGCCCCCACATACCTACATCACTATGTGGAAATATTAGCATAATGCCGCCCACATGTGCACGCAAAGAAAGAAGGCGTGGTTTCAGGAACGCAGTAGTGTTGATGCAGCCATGTCGGGGAGACGGTGTGTTTCAGTGCGAAAGCAAAAGCACTTTATTTGGCCTTCCGGAAGTAGATGCAATTAGGAATCATTGGTTAAGATTTATTTACAACAGAACAGCACAACCCAGATGTTCGAATTTGGTTAGCTAGCATTAGCATGCCACCGATGTAACCGTGACAGTAAGACTCGCGTTAAATATATAACGTAAAAGGCTGAAATCGCGTTGCTAGTGAAAATAAAATATTTCACCACCTCACATTTTATATAAATTCGATTGTTTTAACGTATTAAATACTCAATACCTATTTCGATTCTCCTGACACATTAGACTTTAGCATGATTTGTGTTTTTGGTCAAATGAATACAAATAAAGTTACTCCTGTAATAAGATAAATACAAATAAATAGATTTATGTATATCTAATAGCGAATCATTATTTTGCTGCGTATATATTGCAAAAAGAGTTTGTTTGAAGTCAAGAAAAACGTAAACAATAGCAGCTAAGCTAAGCCCGTGAACTTCAGCACACATTCTAATAATTGTTTCAACAGTAATAACTTTTTATATTTTAGGTCTTGTTAAATCAAATAAAAGTGTATTTGAGTGGATTAAAGGCGAAATAATGTAATTAAAAATGTTAGATAATAGATTATAATATGTTTTAGCATACCCTTGTCTCACGCGACCGTTAGCTCAATGCTAAACTTGTAAGTTTTCAAAAAAATACTTTTAAATAACTCACTTTGCTTGCGCTTCGTCTAAACTTTGGTCGGTAATCGTCATGATCTGTTGCAGGATATCGCCAATGTCTCGGCGGCTGTCGTGTCCATTTTCGGTGCCTTCGAGGCCCGCGGGGTCTCCTACGGGGCGGTGTCGAGAAGGCGGGTGCACCGGGTTAAGGGGATGCATTCCTGGGTGGACGTTCAACCCGAGACCGCGGCTTGCACTGGGCCCGTTGCCTGTGATAGGCTGCTGTGGCTGCAACATCCTGAGCAGTACATTAATCTAGGTGAGTGTGTGTCCATGCATCACCACGCTGGAGTCCCCTAGCGATTGGCACATAAAAAACGTGCCCTTGCACGGAAATAGACATTCTGCGAATGCAAAAGTCAAGATATGAGTACATTGTGATCACGCAGTCTGTTGCATGGGTCAAAAACAGTATGAAAACACACAGAGGTGAAATTAAATGAAACCTCATCGAACCAAGTCCATGAAACGTGGATTTATGCTTCCAGGAAAATGTAGCCTAAATGCACAAATACGGAGAACTTCAGGGTCTTTGTGAATAAATCTCACAAAACATGTCAGGAACGTGTTCAGTTTGCATTTCATTCTGAAATCTAAAGGGAAAAAATACCGAAATCAATTAAAAGTAAATGTGATTATGCTTTAATGTATGCCAATTTAAAGAAGAAAAAAAATATTAGATTAATGATATGATATGAATTATAAGTGGAATTAAAAATGTATTCAAAAAAGTACAACATCCAGATGATTTAGATGGGAATGGTAGAAACTGGCTTAATTATAATTAAAATAATTAAGATAATATAAAATAATCCTCTTAAAATAAGTTTATTCATTTTCTTATTTATTTATTTATTCATTAATTTATTTGTTTGTTTGTTTTAAGGGTGAAATGTGAACTCTGGTCAAGTTCTTGACCATTTTCATGATATTCACTCTTTTATTAAGGCACAGTTTTACTTCTGAATTATGAAATGTGATATTCTTGCATGCACTGAGTTGCTCAACATATACAAAATTCCTTTCTGCAAGTGCATAGTTTACATGTCATCATGTCACAGCCTGGAGGCTTTAGGTCTGCAGTATAATCAGCGGGAGAAACAGGACATGTTTCTTGGTGCTAAATGGAACATGAATGTCAAGTATCTTATTTTAAATTCTAGTCGCTCAATTGTCTTCTCCTCTATGCTCAAGTCTTGTTCTCTATCACCAAGTCTAACTTCTCGTTTTGCTGGTAGTCAACAGGAAATCTGCAAAACCACAGACTGTGTTAAACAAACAGGCCACCAGTTTCAACATGCAAGACTTTCAGAGCTGTTGAGCGTCAGCACACATTTCCCATACGTACGATTATAAAATAGCATTGCATTTGAATAAAAGTGAGTTTAAACGGAGCAGACTGTATCATGCACTTCTACAGAGCATTTCTATACATAAACCTATTCCACTAGATAAGCTGAAACGGGCCAGATAAATAGGGGTGGATCAGGGCCATAAGAGAGGAACAGGAAGAGACAGAGCAAGCAGACTGTGAAGCAGTGAAGTTGTCGATGCATCGTGTCAGCTTTAAGCTCTTTTCAGATTCGTTTGTGAGAAACACTCAAAGTTTAGCCGAGATATGTAGGAGTTAATGCATGTTCGTACACGGAGGTGAGATGCATGTGGGCTTTACTTGACATTCCGCTGAGAGGACCTCATTTTAACTCGTCTAAGGTTGAGAAGGTAAGCAGGGCTGTAAAATGTCACCCACTATCTAAATCGGAGTCAAAATAAGTACAGTTACATGTTATAACTATATTATAGTAACTAGCCTATGTTGTGCGCTGAAAACGTTTTATCTAAGATCAGTTGTCATGTGTCACGTTCTACTACAGACTACGCAAGATAAAAAAGTGGCATTGTAAATGATAAACATACTTTAGATATATATGCTGCTGATTACATGCATGACTGTTCAGTGTCTCGACTTGTTCAATATATAGAAATGAGGCATCTCTAACTTCATACTTTTTATAGGCTCTCGTATTTTCTTCCACGGAGGGCTCAGCAGAAGCTACGATGAACTGCTCCGAGGTCAAAGTTGAAACCTCGGTGGACAAACAGTTGGACCCTCTTCTCATCCTCGAAGAGGGGGATGAACCTTCGGATGTGATAAACAACATAGAGAGAGGAAGGACCGTACTGAGAGTTAGGACGACTGATGAAAACACAAAGGATGACATTACAGAAGCCACAGAGGGAAGTTCACATGATCACAACAATGTCCAAATAGGAAAAGGTGAAAGTGAAGCAATGCAGGCAGAAATAGATGAGGAGAGGAATGTAACTCTGGAAAGTCAACTAGAAGAGAAGGTGGAAGATCACGCGGGGCGTGAAAATATTGCGAAAACGGACAAGGGATCATCAGTGGGACCAGAGAAGATGCTACAAGCAGAGACTGAAGACAAACCAAGCACTCAAGGAGAAGTAAAACTGCGGCCCAAAGACAGACTCAGCCCTGACGATGCAAAACTAACGGTAACGGTTAATAATTATGCCAAATTTAATAGTGTGTCTAATTGCATTGAGAAGACACCATGCACAGGCTTGACAAGTGCAGTTTTTTTTTTCCTGCGTTGATGTATTTCCTATTGAATCACTAAGTGGGCGGGACCTTTGAAGTTCTTGTCAATAGGTGTTAATTACAGCTATGGAATTTTAATTCTAGAAATTTGAATAATTTTATTATAATAAATTATATTATAATAATTTATTATAATAAATAAATATTTCACTATTTATTATATTAGCATATACACGACTTTCCAAAAGTTTGGTGTTGGAGTTTAATGTTTTTATAAAGTAAAAACTGTAATGTTGTGAAATATTATTTTAGCTTAAAATAACTGTTTTCTGTCTGTATATGTTTTAAAATGTAATTTATTCCTGTGATGCAAAGCGGAATTTTCAGCATCATTACTCCAGTCTTCAGTGTCACATGATCTTCAGAAATCATTCTAATGCTGATTTGCTGCTCAAGACACATTTCTGCTTATTATCAATAATGAAAACAGTTGTGCTGCTTCATATTCTGGTGGAAACACTGATACATTTTTTATAGGATTATTTGATGAATAGAAAGCTCAAAAGGACAGCATTTATTTAAAATATACATTTTATGTAACATTTATTGTCACTTTTTTATTATTTTAATGCACCCTTGCTGAATAAAAGTATTAATGTAATAATAAAAAAAATGTATAAAAAAAAACTCCTTAACCAGTACTGCGTTTGACCAGTACTGTAAATGAGCCTCAAAGCTAACAGACATGGACTAATATTATTTAAAAAGCTTCACATAATGACACTGATTGTTACTTTAGTTGTCATGGTATTACATGGGATTATTTTCTTTTAAAAGGAATTTACAAAAATACAAAAGTTTAGTCCAGAAATTTGCAAACTGACACATCCCATTATTCATTAAGAATTTAAAATCAACATTATAAAGTGTATGCAACTTCTGTAATATTTCTAATATTATAAAACGGATAGTTCTGGTCCTTGATTCTGATTGGTTGAGCCGCGTTCGAAGCTGTTGTAAATTACTCTACAAACATACACCTTTGTTTACTTCTGTGTGTTGCTCGGCAACCACTTTGTTGGAACCACAACTGTTTCTGAGGAACTACGTTGTTTGGCGGAAGAATACTGTTTTTATTAATATCATTACATTTTATTTGCTCTGTTTTATTTAGTGAAACCTTACCACGTATATGGAATAACCGTTTTCTAAAAGCAATAAGCCCCGTGAAGCCATGGTTTACAGTGAATTTATAACAGCTAAGGGGGTTTTAGGCACTCTGCTTCGCTTGCACTGGGCCCGTTGCCTGTGATAGGCTGCTGTGGCTGCAACATCATGAGCAGTACATTAATCTAGGTGAGTGTGTGTCCATGCATCACCACGCTGGAGTCCCCTAGCGATTGGCACATAAAAAACGTGCCCTTGCACGGAAATAGACATTCTGCGAATGCAAAAGTCAAGATATGAGTACATTGTGATCACGCAGTCTGTTGCATGGGTCAAAAACAGTATGAAAACACACAGAGGTGAAATTAAATGAAACCTCATCGAACCAAGTCCATGAAACGTGGATTTATGCTTCCAGGAAAATGTAGCCTAAATGCACAAATACGGAGAACTTCAGGGTCTTTGTGAATAAATCTCACAAAACATGTCAGGAACGTGTTCAGTTTGCATTTCATTCTGAAATCTAAAGGGAAAAAATACCGAAATCAATTAAAAGTAAATGTGATTATGCTTTAATGTATGCCAATTTAAAGAAGAAAAAAAATATTAGATTAATGATATGATATGAATTATAAGTGGAATTAAAAATGTATTCAAAAAAGTACAACATCCAGATGATTTAGATGGGAATGGTAGAAACTGGCTTAATTATAATTAAAATAATTAAGATAATATAAAATAATCCTCTTAAAATAAGTTTATTCATTTTCTTATTTATTTATTTATTCATTAATTTATTTGTTTGTTTGTTTTAAGGGTGAAATGTGAACTCTGGTCAAGTTCTTGACCATTTTCATGATATTCACTCTTTTATTAAGGCACAGTTTTACTTCTGAATTATGAAATGTGATATTCTTGCATGCACTGAGTTGCTCAACATATACAAAATTCCTTTCTGCAAGTGCATAGTTTACATGTCATCATGTCACAGCCTGGAGGCTTTAGGTCTGCAGTATAATCAGCGGGAGAAACAGGACATGTTTCTTGGTGCTAAATGGAACATGAATGTCAAGTATCTTATTTTAAATTCTAGTCGCTCAATTGTCTTCTCCTCTATGCTCAAGTCTTGTTCTCTATCACCAAGTCTAACTTCTCGTTTTGCTGGTAGTCAACAGGAAATCTGCAAAACCACAGACTGTGTTAAACAAACAGGCCACCAGTTTCAACATGCAAGACTTTCAGAGCTGTTGAGCGTCAGCACACATTTCCCATACGTACGATTATAAAATAGCATTGCATTTGAATAAAAGTGAGTTTAAACGGAGCAGACTGTATCATGCACTTCTACAGAGCATTTCTATACATAAACCTATTCCACTAGATAAGCTGAAACGGGCCAGATAAATAGGGGTGGATCAGGGCCATAAGAGAGGAACAGGAAGAGACAGAGCAAGCAGACTGTGAAGCAGTGAAGTTGTCGATGCATCGTGTCAGCTTTAAGCTCTTTTCAGATTCGTTTGTGAGAAACACTCAAAGTTTAGCCGAGATATGTAGGAGTTAATGCATGTTCGTACACGGAGGTGAGATGCATGTGGGCTTTACTTGACATTCCGCTGAGAGGACCTCATTTTAACTCGTCTAAGGTTGAGAAGGTAAGCAGGGCTGTAAAATGTCACCCACTATCTAAATCG